GTGGACACTCATTTTCAGATTCACTGAACATGGAGAGCAGACAAGACACATGCAAGATAAAAACACACTGTTCTGATGGCACTCCAAGGGTCCATATTCCAATTATTCTTGGCCTGCATACAATAAGTCTGTATTTCTGTCTCATGTTACATGCTGCAGATGGGAGTATGAGTTGCTCCTTAATCGGTCATTCTTTTATTCTGATGTTTCCCAGTGCACTCAGACCCAAATGAACACAATTTTATTTCCCAAAGTCAATAGAAAGTCCGTCGAGTGTAACAATGTTTTTTAGGTCACTTCTTTATCACTTTTGCCTTACATGTTTCGGTTTAATAAAACCATCATCAGAGGCCCATGGTACTAACAAGAAAACACTGGCGTTGTTTAACTGTACACAGTATATATGCTGCGTGGACGCTGCTACAAATGTCGATGTGTAAAAGCACAACACTTGCTAGGAATATTGAATGCACGTTCAACTCTCGCATTCCATCCGAAATTGCCCTCAAGTTAAAACGTCACTATTAAAATATTTAAAAGTTTAAAACATTTGAAGTAAAATGTTAGGCTCCTTCTTGTTAATTCATCCCGATGATGGGAGATGTCAGCTTGAGGTTGTATAGGCTTATGGTTGGATGTTTCCTATGACATCTCCCATCATCGGGATGAATTAACAAGGAGGAGCCTAACATTTTACTTCAAATGTTTTAAACTTTTAAATATTTTAATAGTGACGTTTTAACTTGAGGGCAATTTCGGATGGAATGCGAGAGTTGAACGTGCATTCAATATTCCTAGCAAGTGTTGTGCTTTTACACATCGACATTTGTAGCAGCATCCACGCAGCATATATACTGTGTACAGTTAAACAACGCCAGTGTTTTCTTGTTAGTACCATGGGCCTCTGATGATGGTTTTATTAAACCGAAGCATGTAAGGCAAAAGTGATAAAGAAGTGACCTAAAAAACATTGTTACACTCGACGGACTTTCTATTGACTTTGTGATTGATAGTGTAACAGACAAAAAATGAAACAATTCAAAAAACAATTTTATTTCTTTATTATGATTATACTTTGGTTAATGTTTTGTGATATTTTGTACTTGTTTATGAATATTTCATTTATGTAACTAATTTTAGAGTGACAAAATTATGATAAAGGTTGAAAGAAAACAGTGAAATGCTTTATCACTTTAATTGACTCTGTGAACTTACATTAATAAGAATATTCTTTTAAGTAATGTTTTCATCTTTTAACATTCTTGACATGATTTAGATGGGTGTTGTGTCTGAAGCTTTTTTTTGAAGGAGCCTTTTCTCTCATGTCTTTAATATTTTAAAGAAGGTGTCAAGCCATAGTTGCATAACTGCCATTGTGTTTTCGAACAGCAGTTCATAAGAACAATGAAGTATGACTTTTATGTTTCTCATAATTTTCAATGATTATTGAACTTGACAGTCATATTCCAAGAGTTTGTTGAAAGCTTCTTTGATTGTATTCATGTTTATCATCAAAGCACTTGTCATCAATTCTTGTAAAGATCCTTTACCAACAAGACCAGGACTTTGAGGTGTACCATTCTACCAGACAACCCATAAGCCTCTCTGCTGGTTCTGTTATGTTGACACTTTTGTCATCTGGCCCAGAGTCCCAGCAGGCTTTGGGACCTCTTGACCACCTGAACATTAATTTCGCCATGAAAGTGGGAAGAGATGGTCACTTTCCCATCCTGAACGTAGATATTTACAGGAGATGTGATGACTGGGCAGTAAGATATTTTAANGCATTTTTAAACACAACGCTTAAAATTGATTAAGCGCCTAACAGGAACGGACATTTAAACGCAGCGTAGCAACGGGCATTTAAACGCGCACCAGCAGCGGACATTTAAATAAACTCCGGCCAGCTCAAGCTTACCACTATTTCGAAGTCCGGCGTTTAAAGGTTAAACCTACAAATACAAACCATGTTTCTCATTACTCATCCAACAAGTATGCCGTACTTTCCACACTGGTGCATTGGTATGATCAGGACAGCCCTCATGCAGTCCTGACTTTTGTTGAGGGACATTTTCATGTGAGCGACAGGCATATTCACTGGACTGTCCATCTTGTAAGGGTTGCTCCACCCATGGATATGCCAAATTCATTTACTTTCCTGGCTTATGTGAGGTTGATCTTTAGCTGCATTAGCAAGATACTGTCCCAGCTTAACAAGTAGTTGATTGGCCTCATGCTGAGGAAAATCTCTAGTTTACTTCAGCCAATCAAGGATGACCTGGGATTGAGGGCTCTGGGAGTCTGAGTGTGGCAGGTCTGCCTTTGATAGATAGGGTGTTTGATCAACATGAGGTTGGAGGAGCACCAGTTGGCATATCTGGATGGGTAAGCCATGGCAGAGCACAGTATCAAATTTGTACTGCATCAACTTACATAACACCAGCATCCTTGTTACCAAACACAAATACATGGACCATTACCTGGTAGGCTGCTAAGATTGTGCTTCTTCCCAGTAATATGAACAGGGAGGATGGCTTCTGTGAAAGTAAGTAACGAAAACCTCTTATCTGCTGTTTGGAAGATTGTGGAAAGCCTCCCTCACAGGTGTCTGTAGATGAGTTTTCCATGTGGCCACAGAGGTCCATATACACTTTCCCCATCAGGACACAAATGCTACCCTGTCTGGGTATCCATTAGCATTAAGCCCTTTCTTACTGTTTTGGCCACCCTCTGATGCTTTTTCTTGTTTTATCCCCCACTGTTTCTCTGTGATCCTTGCACACAATGTCTCTCCCATCATCTTTGGTTTTACATGTACCACACACAACTTGTTTCCCTATGTTCCCAGATGTGCACAACCGACCTGTATTAGAGCTGATAGTACATAGTTACCCTTATCTTGTATACTCTCCTATCGGTTCACCCTATTTTCAGAGAGAGCCAATGGGAACTGATGAGTTCTCTTCCAGTTCCCAACTTTTCATACATAAACCTGAGTTTTCTGCAAGCAGACTACTCTATTTGCTACATATTTCATGCAGGTTTCTTGCTTGGCTTATTCTTCACCCTTAAAGATGGAGGTGACATGTTCCTGCAAAAGACTGATTGGCTTTCAATGGACTACACAGCGTTATATCCCCTGAGATAAAGCTCTTAATAACTACCACTGTGAGAACCTCAAATCCTACATTCTTTGCATGTGTTGTGTGATGATGAGCCTTGCCTGGGATGAGCCTTCTTCCACCTAGAGAAGCTGCACTTGCACAGCTTCTCTTAATTACCTCAACATTAGCTGTCTACCCACTATCGCCGCCATTGTGATGTGATCTTATATATATATAGTGCTGACTTGTGTTCTGATGGAGCTGTTTCTGTGCAAAACCAGTAAGTAGTCTTCATTTCCTTTCATCTTTCTGGTATAACATGTCTGACAGATGACAATAATGCAGCAGTTGCTGTTTCTGTAAAGCATCAACTTTTCTTAAGTTGATGCATCTGTGAGCTGGCATATATATTCTTGGCAGTCAAATTCTGATTACATGGAGCAGAGTCCTTCTTGAGAAACTAATAGTAAGTCATCTGGTCAAGAAATTCCACACATTTAATGGAAACACTGTATTTACAAGAGCATGCTGCGTAGAGATCCATTCTTCAAGGCACGCTTTACCAACAAGCCACATGAATCTACGAGAAGTTCACACTGTGATATCCTCTTATCCTGTTTAAGACAGTCTATGCTTACATGACCCAAGTGGCCTCTGCGTGTCTGATTTTCACAAGCAAGTTGGGTCAGGTGGTAATTATTATGACTTTTATTCGGAAGGTGTCAGATTCGAATATCGGCCGGCATACTGACTATCCTCACGATCCTCACTGAGGGATTTTGTGGTTTTCCTCAGTCTTTCCAGGTAAATGCTGATATAGTACTTTGAAAGAGGCCATGGCTTTTCCCACATCGTTTCCAGTTTCTCATTCTGCGGTGTGGAGCCTGAGCTGTTGGCAAGAGTCGCTAAATAAACCGTAAATAAATAACGCACTCTTAAACCTTACATAGTGTCAGTATATTATACAGCGTCAGGAAAGCGCCCTATCAATAAATTGCAACGAGCATGTTGGTTTGGAGGGTGTTTCGAATCCGGTCGATGTATCAGTTATTCTTACATGCTCTTTTGTAGGTTGCCTGTCCAAGCGATTTGCCTGTACGGCTCTGTCCCTTCCTTATGTTTACCTACTCTTCATTCACGTCTATCATTCCATCTGTTCAGCGCTGCACAACCTGTGCGGTTGGAACCACGTAAGGTTATAACAACAGTGTTTAGTGTAAATATTTTAACAGCTCTCTTATTATTAGAATTTAGGGTTGGTTGCCCCAAGCCCATTCTGATGTTGAGAGGTTTCCAGTATTTCTAGCGTGCATTATTCTAAAGGGCAAACTGTGAAACATAATAATATAGGGATGGTGCCTTAGTGCTGTAAGGGATAAGCATCAGCATCCGTTCAAAAATGGTTTCAAAATTGCTTTAATATTGGAGGCCTCATTAGACACAACCTGCACGGGGTAAAAACAAATACTAGTAGGTGGGAGACAATGGACACATGCTCGGTGTCTGGCAATATGTTGTGTAGCAGTATTCGATAATTTCTTCCGAACAATGATAATGTCTTTTGTAATTTCCAATTTACAAAAAAAAAAAAAAAATCTTGAGCATAGCAGCGCATAGAATGCATCTTGTGCACATGTTCCATTGAGTTGACTTTTTGGTCCCCCCCCTCCCCCCTAGACATCCTTTTAAGCTTTTAAGGACAGAGCATTTTTGAACAACGTGCTCTTTATCAGATAGTCGGATAGTGTAGGAGAACGTATGTATCACTGCGCATGCACAATATTCCAGTCTTCTCTGCACCTATTATCCCTTCCTGCCACCTGCTAGCACAAACTGAAATAAACCAGACCCAATACGGAACGCGGCACCAGCCCTGTTAACACAGTTGGTCGCATTCCCATCTGTGTCAGTGTTTATTAACGACTGTAACTATTGAGTGAAAAATTTGTGTCTAGCCTGAAAGAGTGAAGCTGTTTGCCTCTTGAAGCTCTTGAAAGTGGCGCCGCAGTGGCAATTGAAACAAGCCAGGGCGCGCTGAGTGAGTGGGAAGGTAGTCAGTGTGAGTGTACAGGTGCGGGCAGTGTGACAACGCAATGAAGTGTGCAAGTGACTCCGTGTTTCTGACATTTCAGATTGTTGTTTTCATCACGTTCTACCTCGCAACAGGTAAGTTACTGAAACTGATTCATACAGAAATAAAAATGTAGCGAGGATAAATGTTACAATTTTAGAACTCTTCTGGATATGTCTTGTGAACGAAAAATCATTTACGTTGAATCCTATAAGTGATATTTGAACTACAACCGCACGCTTCGCACTTAAGGAAACTGCATAAATGCCCGGTTTGTCCCATACGAATGCCTACGAATTCCGTGTGGTTTCGTCTGTATATAGGCCTAAGGAGGACGTGTGTTGAAAATTGCACTCGTATGATTGTTCGTTTACAAGAGAATTCTTGAAATATCTCAAATACCATTTCGGTGTCTTCAGGTTATGTGTTTTAAGTAACTCACCTAAACATGTAGGTAGATGCCCACTATAGAAGCCGTGCATCTGTGTAAACAACATATGAATGGAACACGCTGTTTACAGCTTGGCTGATTCACAAATATATATCATTACGTACCGTTTTGTAAATAAATGAAAAATACAGATTATATGTTAATGATATGAAAAGTTTAAGAAAACTAATTTTATATTGGTTTACTATAATGTGACATTTGTTTCGAAATATACGATAAGAATGTTCGTAGTGTGGTCAGATTTGCCTTAAGCAGGGTTCAATAATCCGGAGATAAAAAAACAGCGAATTATCTGAAGTAAAGTTTTTCATGTCATACTTGCCCGGATATTTTATGTAAGTTCTTAAAAATAAATAAATAGTGCATGTAGCATGACTCATATTCTTAATCTTGTCGATCGGTTTGCAGTACGAACATTCTCAGTATAATGACATGTGTCGGAGGTTAAGAAAAGTCTGCAGAACTTGAATCAGTCAAAGTGTAGATACAACAGCATGTTCTATCTTCGCGCTTAGGTTACATAAGTGTGTATTTAATTCCTTAATTTTATCTTTATCATTTGAATTTGCCGTTACAATTCGTTTTTTATGTTCTATAGTGTAAGCTACCGAGAGAGCTGTTAATTAAACTACAAAACGAATAAAGGTGACAGTGTTCGAATGAACGATGTTGAAATTAAGGGAGATTAAGGTAATCAATTGACATTCGCAAGTCATGTCTATTCTTTTAAACCATGCGGCTAGTTAAATTGGGCAGCATTTTGATAACTCTATCGAAATGTTTACATTCACGTCTTTAAATCCCCCCCAGCGCCGTGAGAGATTCATGTTATGCCTGCATTTACTTAGTAGTTATGTAATATGCTGGAGTCCCATTAAATCTGATTTTTGCAATAAGCGTTTAAATAGGCTCTTGTGGGCAAAACTCGTAGGTCCAACTCCATGGAGTAAATTTCAAACGATTAGACTGAAGAGCTATATCTTCTAGGACTTACCGCCGTGCAGACTGGACGAAATAAACTGACGTTCCAGAGGAACACCGCCTCCATCATCAGGATGGAAGAGTACGCCAAGTAAAGAATCAGCATGAAGCAAGCAAGCTAGAGGCGATATGTTCGTTCGAAACGTCGGTTACCTTACACAGGACAGCACGGCGTTATATCCCAGACGATAAAACTCTTCACAGACACCGCTGTGAGACCCTCAAATCCATCGATTCCTTTAAATTTCTGAGAGTTCTTTCTACTCAAAATGATTAAGACCGCTGACTCGGTTCGAACCTTGTCGAGAACATAGGTAATGGCATTCATCTTCTGTCATCCCAACTCCTAGCTTGTTTCTGGTACAAAAAAGTCGAGCGCAGCCTGCAACAACTTGGAAAGAACTTCCGAGAAAGGAAGAAATATATCAACTGTAGTCAAGGTTTGGGGGCCGGTCACGGGTGCCGAGCGGTCTAAGGCATGGACTGTCTTCGTTCGCTTGGAAGCCGGGATCGTGGGTTCGAATCCCACTCAAGGCATGGATGTTTGTGTGCGTTTTTCTGTGTTTGTGTACAGGTAGAGGCCTTGCGACGAGCTAATCACCCGCCCAAGGAGTCCTACCATATGTCTTTAAGATCTAGAAAAACCGAAGTGAACGGAGAAGTTCATGGAAGTAGGCCTAGGCCCACTGGGGCTGTAGTGCCAAGGGGGAAAAAAAGTCAAGGTATGGGAATTAGAAGTAATGGCTTTACTAATTGCCCATTGAAATTGTTGTAAAACATCGTTGGAGTACTGTCATTACATATTAACGGTTTAAAGCGTCTCTTTAATATCGGGTGGGAAAAAAAGAGAAACAGAATGTAACCAACATTTGTTTAGTTTGTATTAGCTGTGAAGGTATCAGTAAAACATGACATCTGTGAATCCAATTACTGACACTACACTACACTACGCGATACGATTCGGGACGATATAGCACTCGGGACGAAAACGGCTGTTTACCGAGTGGGCCGCGCACACAGACGCGACACTCGGGAATCTTTGACACCCGATAACCAGCTGGCCATGACTCACACTCAATCAGTATCTTTACGTACATGAAACGACATGGATAGCGAAATGGAACAAATAATAGAGTTCGTCAAAGAAAATGCTTTATTGTACGATACTCGTCATCCGATGTACAAGGGTTAACGTGCTGAGAATAGAAGGTGGAAGGAACTGGCTGTTACAATGAACAGAGACAGCAAGTAGAAAAATTTGTATATATTTATATAGGGTTAAGTATACATTAACTGTGGACGTTCTTAATGTAGGCTATGCACCAGTTCTGTTCACTAACACGAATTCCAGGGGCAGTCATCTAGTTGAAGTACGCAACAAAACGCTCTCTAATGGCGTAGCTAACGTTTGCCGCCCTTGGGAGACGTAAAGGCTGGATAGGGAACATTTCTCCTTCTAATGGCTCCACTCGTAGCAGTTCTTCCCTGTACTTTTCATCACAGTTTTTGAGACGTAGGAAATTATGAAGCAAACATGTTGCTGATACAGTGTGTTTTATATTTCCTTCTTTCAGTTCTATGGGTCTCAAACAATCCTCCACTTCATGGCAAGAATAGGCCTCCGCCAATTGGTATATTGTTTAGTGATATCTTGCCTGATGGCTCTCAGGATTTCATCAAACCTGTCAATATTCATCCAGAAATATATGTAGAACCGTTTTTCGTCCTTCAGGAGTTGGGGTATCAGTGTATAAAACTCCCCCAGTTCCTCTCTTGACAAGTTTATATCATGAACCTAAGTGATTCGTCTCTTTCCCCTAAAATAGGAACACACACAGAAACCACTTATACGTACTTAATTAGAGACTCGTTATGGAATTGTAAATATTTGTACATATATGTGACATACTGAATATGTGGAGGAAAAGAACTACGCAGCTTTAGTGTTCAGTAAAATACTTACCGTTTGTGTGTGTGCGTTTTTCTGTGTTTGTGTACAGGTAGAGGCCTTGCGACGAGCTGAAAACCCGCCCAAGGAGTCCTACCGTATGTCCAAGATCTAGAAAAACCGAAGTGAACGGAGAAGTTCATGGAGGTAGGCCTAGGCCCACTGGGGCTGTAGTGCCAAGGGGGAAAAAAAATACCGGGATTCGCCTTCGTCGTCTTCATCAAGAGCGACAGCTAAAAGCAAAACTTCTTCCTCCAAAGACGGATCTATGACTATTTACCGCTGCGATACAGCGCGGTTTACCGAAATACCGAGGCGATATACCTACTGCGATAATATCGCGTTCCTCGGAGTACCGCGCCAGTGTGCGGACCTCCATTTACCGCAATGTAATTAGATATCGTCCCGTACCATACCGAGCTGAGTATCGCGTCTGTGTGTGGGAGCCTTAAACATGGTTCCAGCCACATCGCTTCGCGTTGAACGGTACCAGCATAGCAGGGAAACGAAGCACCTGCTTAAAATGAGTGGGGAAGGATATAGTAGAAAGCTGCCGGTACATTACTTTCCTGCGATTGCCCAGAAACATTGACGGCAACCACGAAAGCAATCGACATAGCCGGTCCTGGTCGGGATTTGAACCAAGTACTTCCCCAATTGCGTAGTGTGGGCAAATGTTGAACATTAATGACGTATCGATATGTAAGAAGACACGTGCTAACAGAAGAGTATTTCTCAGTTAGAATGGCAATTGTCTTTCGAATTCCGGAACATGAGACCTATATTCAGTAGTGAGCTTACATGAAAATTAAAGTCTGATGGCAAATTTTGTTCCGCCTGATAATAATTTGCATGCGTCTGCGCAGTTTATTCTCAGCGAGTAGCAGAAATCTGTTGACAACTGTGATTAATTTCAGCAGAATATGTTGGAGTCTGTGAATGACAGTAGTTGTTATTGCAACCTGCTTCAGAGTTGGTAGGTTTCTCAACCTGGGCTATTCGTTACAACCCTACAGGTTGGCTCTGGGACCAGAATACGCGCACAAGCCCATGTAGTTAGCAAGTGTAAGAGAAATATGGTGCAAGAAAGTGTTGTCTAAGTGAGTACATTTTAATGAGATGACTTACTTCATTGTAAGATTTGAGGTTTCCACGGCGGTGACTATGAAGAATGCAGTCTTCTGGGATGTGGCGCCGTGTAGATCTTGTGTGAGTCGACGTTTCGGAGGAACTTATTGCCTCAATCTTCATCATCATCATCATCATCAGTAATCTGTCAAGACGACAGGTCCACAGTCTCTTTCAAAACAATTCCTCCACTTAATGCGATCTAGAGCTTTCTCCTTCAAANGCGACGTTTCGGAGGAACTTATTGCCTCAATCTTCAGGGTAGAAAAATCCGCGAGCGAGGAACCAGCGTGAGCAGGTGGAAAGCGGAGCTGAAGACAGCGAAATGTTCCACCAAAATGTTGGTTGACTCTCAACGGACTACACGGCGGTATAAATCAGAAGATAGAACTCTTCATAACTACTGCCGTGAAAGCCTCAGATTCTGTATAATTCTCAGGATATTTATGGGAAGTGTATTTTGTATGTTACAGTTCTCCTCCTCCTCCTCCTCCTCCTTCAAGGGTTTAGGCAATTGATCTGTTTCTGACTTCAAGAAAAACGTCCTACTTATCTAAGCTTTCAGACATTCGATACTTCGGTGTCGT